GAACATCGATGTTTCTAACTCTCTATCTCTCTCCTTTCCTCTCTGTAAAAACTCAATAAAATATATTTTAAAAAACAAACAATAAAATAAAATTAAAAAAATAAAAACTTTTATTGTTTCTATATACTGGGCAATGGTTGTGTTTCTTTTGCGTGGTTTGTAAGCACAATGCACTCAAAACCAAAATGGTAGAATCTCACAATCTCACCAGGTTATCTCCCCGGGTAATATGGAAGCTACTAGTCATTCTTATTCTGAAAAAGTCTGGATTTTTAGGCCTAAGGGTGTGTCTGTCTCTTTGCAGGAAAAGTGATAGTCCTTCAGTCATATGAAGCTCGCTCGGGCTTAGAAGCATTTAAGTACCTTGCGTGCCAAAAAAGTGCATCTGGGTATCTGAGTCCCACCCCCAATTTTGCACACCTGTAAGGACGCAGTTTACTAATAAAAGCTGTGGTTTGCGGAAGCAAGGGAGGCAATTCAAACGCTATTACACGTCCCCCCACTAGGGGCTTGGAAGAGTCGCTTTCTCTCCGGCTAAATCCCTGCGTTGGGGTTTGGTGAGGGGCGCCGCTGCGGGATCAGGGACTCTGCGATCCGCGAGGACGCGCCCTTCCAGCTAAGCCCCCAAAACTCGCCTGGCACTCTCAGCGACGCCACGCTGGGAAGAGATGCATAATAAACACTTCTTTCTCATAGAAGAAAGTGTACCCAAGAGAAGGGCAACTAGCGGGTACCGCCGGGGAGGGAGCTTTAAAAAAAAGTGCACCAAATTCTACTTTTTGAAATAATAGCATTGTTCAACAGTTATTTTCCTCGTTCTGGTTTTATTTTTTTCCTTCATTTAGAAGTTACATTAACCTTACTTAGTTAACTTTAAAAGTGAACCACAAATTACAATGTCTATGTTTAGGATTTTCTGAAGCACTCCCGCCACCCAGGTTTCCGTAGTGTAGTGGTTATCACGTTCGCCTAACACGCGAAAGGTCCCCGGTTCGAAACCGGGCGGAAACAGCTCTTTTATCCTAAAATTAATCTACCTTTTTTTTTCTTTAAAGACAGTAACTTGTACACCCTTCGGAAATTCAACTTTCGGTTTGGGTATTATTTCATTTGTTTACCAAATGTTTTTATTCATGGCGTGCCATGTGCAAGAAGGGCTCCAGACTTAATTTTCCTTTTTTTTTTTAAATTTTTATTTATTGATTAAGGTTTGTTTTTTTTTTACTTCAACTCACAACCTGATTGATACTGGGAAAATAATGTAATGTACAGCCTAGCAGGGAAATCCGTGTGATAACTCTTAGCCCTGTGACCTCCTGAACACTCTATTATGTCATTGGGTTTTCCATTAATTTCCCCCAGAGACCATGCTTTATTCTTATTCTTTATACTAGTGTCATGCTTGGCACCAAGGAGAGACTCATAAATATTTCTGAATTAATAAATCATCAAAAAATGTTCCGACAAAAAAGTGAAATAAGAAAGAAGTATACTCAGAAAGATAAAATTGTTAGGACAAGGGTCTCAAGGTCTGGGTCATTCTTACTAAACGTTACTCTTGCTAAATGTTAAAATGTAGCACAGTATTTTACATACCAACTGTAAACAGGATGAGGTCGGCAGGAACTAGATTAGATAAATGTAGCCAACTGTAAGGAAGAAATCAGTTGTGTACCTGACCAAATAGCAATGGCTAAGCCTGTCTTCTGGGAGACAGCTTTGGCCATGAATCCCCATCTCCTTTACTTGCTGCAATAAAACTACCTTGCAACAATCACCTCTTCTTCTTTTTTTTTTTTTTTAATACAGCACCCCAAGCAGCGAAACCCTTGAGTTTAGTAACAAAATCAAGAAAGAACCAGCCTCAACGTTTTTCTTTATAAACACTATGGCTGTGTTTTTATGCCCAGACTTCTTACTGAGTAGACAGACGTTATAAAAACAGTAAACAGAATCTGGTTGGGAAACTCTTCAGAGAGAAGCAACGAATTAGTTCAGTTGAGACTGCCCTTTAAAGTTGCGAGTAAATTTCCAATGGTCCAGACACAACTTTTAACAATCAAAAACGTTGAAGTTTTGGTTTCCTGAGACTTAGGATGTCTGCGGGTTCTAGGAAAGAATCCACCCCAACACAACATGATTTATCTTAATGTTTCTGCGCTCCTTGTATATTATGCAAGCTGGCATCCCTTTCCTTCACCATACAAAAATCTGAATGCGACGTAAATAATTGCATTAAAATATCTTTAGCCCCGACTCTGAACCTTTTCCGGTATAACGCCCACCTTCCTCCAATGCTGCGCATGCCCAGTGCGCCCTACATCCTTGCTCGGCTTTCGCGCGTCAGACTTCTGTGCCTGGTAAGGGCTTCGTGTAAAGTGGGCTACAGTTGGCTGATGCAAACAAAACCCAGGAGGTCCCAAGAGCTTTCGGGTATGTACACGGCAAAGGGGTCATCGGTCTCAGCTCAAAAAATACTCCCCATGGCCGAGAGCCCAGTACACAAAGCAGTTTTTCCCGAGGAAGGAAAGGATGATGGGAGAAGACAAGCAACTACAAGCCCCAGCATGCAGTGCGCACTCTGGCTGCAGGAAAGCGGCCTGCGAAGCGGCACTGACCGGCCGCGGCCCGAGCGCGAGACCCGGACTGTTGGCCGACCAGGCGCTGAGAATGAGGACGCAGGCGGGGTGCTCCGAGCGATCCCTGGGGTCTCCTGTCTTTGACGCTCGCTATTTTGGGGAGGGAGGCCCTGGCATGTAAGGTGTCGGTGTGAAGCAGGGGTGTGGACCGGCCAGTTGAGCCCCGGCTGGTGTGGGACCCCCACGGTCCTAAAGCCTCCGGGGTTGCCAAGGGGCTCCCGGACCCGGATGTGACGTCGTCGTGGAGGAAGAAGGGAAAGGCGGAGCTGGCGTGGTGACGTCCTCCCAAGATGGCGGGGAGAGAGTGAAGAAACAGTGTCCCCGGCTGGGTGGCTCTAGGTGAGTTCTGTCTTCACCCCAGTCCACTATGCCCGCTCTTTCCAGTCCCTGGGCCACTTGGTGGGGAAGGAGGGGGAGCAGCACCTTGGGGTTCGAGCTCAAGTCGGGACGAAGTCATTAACGTGGGAAGCTTGGTCGGGGCAGCCCGCCGTTGGCCTTGGCTTCCACCTCTGCTGTGGGAGTTTGGGGGAGTGGGAGTTGGGCAGAGGGCACGGCGGCAGACGCCGGGGGAGAAGGGCTCGCTCTGGAAGCCACCTGGAGCGGAGCAGGGCCAAGGGAGGGGGCGTGGCCTCTCCCCGGATCGGGACCGGACTTTTGACAACTCTCGGTCCCGCGCGTTCTCCGCCCCCGGGGCACCGGGCTCGCGTCTCGGAGCCGCTGTGTGCACCGCGGAGGCTAACGGGCTTCGGGGTGTGGGAGCAGTTACAAGGGACTCCTACCGGTCTTTTCCGCTTCTGTCCCAAGGAATCATGTCTCACTGGTTAGTTTTTTTTGTTGTTGTTCTTAACATAGGTCCGCCGGTCCAGCTTAAAAGTTTGAAGGTTCCGCTGGTGCAAAGGCGAGAAGTTTTTTGGTGTTTTTAAAAAATATATTTTATTGATTGTCTTACAGAGAGGAAGGGAGAGGGACAGAGAGTCAGAAACATCGATCAGCTGCCTCCTGCACACCCCCCACTGGGGATGTGCCCGCAACCAAGGTACATGGCCTTGACCGGAATCGAACCCGGGACCCTTGAGTCCGCAGGCCGGCGCTCTATCCACTGAGCCAAACCGGTTAGGGCGAAGGTGAGAAATTTTGTGGTGCTGCTTTTTCAGCTCGTGGGAGCTTTTCCAACCATTGTCATTTATTGACGTGTTCAAAGGACGGTGTTCGCTGGCCAAGGTGGAACAGAGATGGAAAGGACTCACCCCTGAGCATTTTGACCGTATCTGTTTGATAAGAATTTTCTGGTTGGGGCCGGG